TGACTCCTCCATTTGACTGCTGGGCTCTTTCTGGGTTTTCCCTCCGGTGCTGGAACTTAGGGAACTCACCCAGGCAATAAGCTAGGCAATCCTAGAGAGCTCTTCATTTTATTTCCTTCCTTCAGGGATCACTATTCTGTACTACCTTTGCCCATTGTTTTAGATGGTTTGTTGGTTTTCTAGTTACTAAAGTAGGAGAGTAAACCTGGTCCCTATTATTCCACCATGGCCAGAAGTGGAAGTGGTCCTAATACAATTTTCATGAAGTTTGAAAACATGTAAAACAATGCTATATATCTCTATATCTACATAGATATATAGAATTTATTAAAAATATGAAGTAATTATATAAAAAAGGTGTATAGAAGAGATAAACACCAAATTTGGAATGGTATTTACTTGGAGAGAGAGATAGGAGAGGACTACTCTGAAATGGAGCTACTTTATAAGTAAGAATGGTAACATTTTAGAATTCTTTGAAAAATTAGTAGTAGGCACATGGCTGGCTGTTCTTCATGCTATTTTATGTACTTCTTATAGGCATGAAATATTGTATAATAAAAATGTAAAAGTATTAAAAAGAAGACTAAAGAATATTAGGTAAAGGAGCATCCCAGAAAGATCAAGAGGTAAAATAGAGTAATTGTTTCTGCAAGCTGCCTAAGTCAGAAGGCACTGTGTAGAGGGGACAAAAAAGTAACAATGGAGACATAGCATCTTCTTCCCTCACCTTGGGGTCTCTGGAAGGCCTGTGATTTCCCTGCTGGTGCTTTCCTACTGGTATTTCCTACTTTTGGACAGACTTTTCTTTAATGAAACCCTTCAAACCCCAACTTCCACAAACACCACCAGTATCACTATGACGCTGTGTTGTCATCTGTCCGTCCACCTGTGAGTCACTAACCCTTAGTTCTTGAAGATTTGAGCCCTTGGGTCACTGTTCCTCTCTCTGTCATCCACAGAGATGATCTTCTTTGACCTTGGCCTCTTAGTTCCTTGCACTGCTTTCCTGCAATTACCATCTCTTGCTTGGATATTGCAGTAGCCTCCTGACTGGCCCCCTTTCCCCAGCATCATTCCCTACCTCTTTAATTCTTAACACAGTAGCCAGTCAGAGACATCATTTTAAGGCATTGGGTCATGTCTTTCTCTGCTCCAAGTCCTCAAGTGACTCCCCATCTCACTCAGAGGAAAAGCCAAGCTCCCCTCATTGTCTTCAGAACACTACATTATTTGACTCCTGGACCTCCTCTCCTGCTGCCTTCCTGCTCATCACCCTGGACTCCTGGATGCTTCTGGAACCTGCTAGGCATGCTCCTGCCTCATTTGTACCCACTGCTCCCTCTGCTTAGACATTTTCACTCTAGATACCTCTAAGGCTTGTTTCTTCTCTCACCTCCTGATATGGTTTGGCTGTGTCCTCACCCAAATCTCATCTTGAATTGTAGTTCCCATAATCCCCATGTGTTGTGAGAGGGATCAGGTGGGAAGTAATTTAATCATGAAGGTTGTTACCCTCATGCTGTTCTTCTGATAGTGAGTGAGTTCTCATGAGATTTGATGGTTTTATAAGGGACTTTCCCTGCTTTTGCTTGGCACTCTTCTCCTTCCTGTCATCATGTGAAGAAGGATGTGTTTGCTTCCCCTTCCACCCTGATTATAAGTTTCCTGAGACCTCCCCAGCCATGCTGAACTGTGAGTCAATTAAACCTCTTTCCTTTATAAATTATCCAGTCTCAGGTATGTTTTTATTAGTAGTGTGACAATAAACTAATACACCTCCTGTAGGTCTTTGCTCTTCAATTGTTACATTTGTCATAAGACCTTCCTTGACCACTTTATTTAAAACTGCTCTCTCCCTGTACAATGCTTTCTTTCTGCTTATTTGTTTTCTCTAGCATTTACCACCCTCTAATATGCTATATAATCAATTTCTTTATTTTGTTTATTGCCTGTCTCCCTTCACTGGAATGTAATCTCCATGAGGACAGGGGATTTCACATATTTTATTGCTTTAATACAAGTGCCTGGAACAGTGCCTCGCACAGAGAAGATGCAGTTAAATACTTGCAGAAAGACTGGAAGCTACTTGGGCTTGCAAGAGGCTATTCCATTGTTCCCCTCCCCTTCCCAACCATCTGTAGCTGCCTCCCTTGAAGCACCTTCCAGTTCCCACGGCCACTGCCCACACACGCTTCTCTGCCAGCATTTAAGCTGTTCTTGTGTTCTGGGGTCCTGGGACAATAGCTCACTTCCATGCTGGACTCCAGGATTGGGGTCAATAATAAGCCTTTCTTTCCATAGCACAGGAGTGTGTCATCTCCTGCTTCTTCCTTTTACCTGGCTGTCTAGCTAAAAATGATTGCATAGAGTCAAATAAGATTAGTAATTACATTGGTCAAGCAGGCTAAACTGCTGTAACAAGCAGATCCAAACTAATTATGGCTGAAACACAACAGAAGCTTACTTAGACCTCTAGTCTAAGTAGGTGTTCATGTCTCTGATGGCTGTCCTCCACATGGTGACTCAGGGATTCAATTTGATAGCAGCTTTGGCATCTTCAGCATGTGACTTCCACATTTGTCCAGGCTATTATCATTCCAGTTGGCACATAACTGCAAAAAAGCCTGAGGAGAGTGGATTTTGGTGGACAAGTAGTTGCCTCCACACAGTAATAATATTTGTCATCTTCATCATCGTGGTCTTAGTAGGAGGCATACATTTCAGTGGATAAACTCATGTATGCAAGAAATGTAACTTTGTTTTTTCTAAAATCTAACTTCTATTTTCAGTCTCAGCCTGTTAAGATAGCATAATTTTAATTTTAGTCACTGGGAGATCCCTGTTCCCCTCTTTTCTTGGGGAGGGGTTAAAGGGTGGGGGTAGGGAGAAGTGCATAGTTCCTGATGTCATCTGCTCACACCAGTACCCATAGGGATGGCCATCATCTGGAATAGGCTTTGAGCGTCAGTACTAAAGGATGCTGCAGAAGTGTCCCTAGATCCCAGCTCTGTGGCTCCTCCAGGTCTGGAGGGGCTCTCTATGACTTCCCTGCCTCTCTTGTGGATACAGGAATCATTTGGTTACTCTCATGTCATGACAACAACTTTTCAAGGCTGTGTGAGGCTCCATTTGGCAAGGCACCCCATGCAACTATTCTTATCTGGGCTCTTGCTGTCTTGGAGCTCAGCCCAGCTCTTGGATCCCCCACAACTCCATCTGGGAATTCTATTGCCTTCCTGGGGCTTGACTTTGAAGCAGGGAACAAGGTTGCTCTCTCTGGGACCCATCAGCATCTTTATAACCTGGCCTTTTTCTTTATCTCTTTCATCTCTCTGGGTTGGGTATTTTTTCCTAGTATGATGAGGAGGGTAATTCTGGTTCTGGCTCACTTCTTGTCTATGCTGTGAATTCTTCCCCTCTCTCTAAGGGCATGGGTTTTTGGAACTTAAAACTGAAAGGAGAGACCGCTTCCCTCTGCATTTGGCTGTTACATTCTCTTCACTGAGTAGAGAATAACCTGGTTGCTAGTGAGAGGAAGGACCAAGGGGCATAGCATGGGCATACCATTTTTTTTTTTTTTTTTTTTTTGAGACGGAGTCTCGCTCTGTCGCCCAGCCCAGGCTGGAGTGCAGTGGCGCGATCTCGGCTCACTGCAAGCTCCGCCTCCCGGGTTCACGCCATTCTCCTGCCTCAGCCTCCCGAGTAGCTGGGACTACAGGCGCCCACAACCGCGCCCGGCTAATTTTTTGTATTTTTAGTAGAGACGGGGTTTCACCGTGGTCTCGATCTCCTGACCTTGTGATCCGCCCGCCTCGGCCTCCCAAAGTGCTGGGATTACAGGCGTGAGCCACCGCGCCCGGCCAGGGCATACCATTTTTAATGGGAGAATTGTGAAATACTTAAAAAATACAATTGCACCATTTGATAATACTAATGACAACAACAATAATGATGTAATTTATATCTATTGAGCATTTAGTGTATGCCAGATCCTCTCCTAAGTGCTCTCTACATATGGTATGTCTTTTAATTGTCACAACAAATCTATGTGTATTTAATATTAGTCTTATTTTCCATCAGAGCAGTTGAAGTTCAGAAAGGTAAAGGGACTTGCATGTGTCAGGGTCTCACAGTTTGCAAATAAGCCAGTGGATCTAGGCTTCAGATGCTAGCCTTCACCTAAAGTCTGAGCTCAACCACTGCAACTCCTGGCCTCTTGGCAATATCCCTGGAACCTCAGTACACCAAATGGGGAATCATTTCATTCTTCCACACTCCTGGCATCAGGCAGGAGTGGGGCTGGCCTTCCTGATTCCCTGCCCCAGCAGAGGTGGGTTGTCCCTAGGGTGCCCCTACTGTCAGCCTCTTCCTCAGAACCGGTTGCCCTTTCTGCTTCGACCACGGCCTGTCTCATCTCCCTGCAGGTTTCCAACCTCTCTCTCTCTCTTTCTTGGTTTGGCTTTACAAATAAAATGTAAATTTAGCTAAGAGCTCATACCACAAAAAGGGAAGAAGTGGTAAGTACAGGCAGCAAACAGAGCTCAAGGGTTAACACCCTGCTGCCACTGGCTGCATGGGCTTTGCAAAGGGGAGTGGGGACTGAGGCTCCTAGGTAGGTGTTCTTGGACCCTCCAGGTGGCCCCTCTGATCACCTGGCTCATGCTGAGGCGAGACGTCCCAGGCTCTCCCCCAGACAGGCAGAGCCTTTTCCAAGTAGAGTGCCTGTGGCTTCAAAAAGACCTCAAACAATCTCTACTATCAGATGACTATTCCTTTGGATTAATAAGCTCCAAATACTGGATAGGCTCACTCTAAAAATTCAGGTGTCAAACATTTTCATCTTAGTCTAGCTGGGCTGAATCCTCGGGCTCAGAGCAAGGCTCCCAGGGGAGTTATGTTGGTGGGCAGTGGGAAGGGAGGAGAGGAGCTTTGGAATGTGGTGCAGGTGGCTTGGTGCAGGGGGCTGTGGGAGGGTGCACAACTGTGTGTCTCTGCAGGTGAGGACTCCATCAGCACCTTGGGCCTGATCCTTGGCGTGGGGCTGTTGCTGCTGCTCGTGTCCATCCTCGGCTACAGCCTGGCCAAGTGGTACCAGCGCGGGTACTGCTGGGAGGGTGAGTGTGCACTGGGCCCTGTCGCCCCAGTTCTGCCCAGCTCCTCCTCTCCCATAGCAATGCCTGGCAGGGCTGCAAACTCTTCAGCATGGTGGGATGCAAAAATATTTCCTGTGGTGGTTGCAGTGGTTGAAGACTTGAGTGGGTGGCTGAGCAGTTGAGGTGGTGAGGTGGGGCAATGGCGCCTTTATCGAGGGAATGGGGGCTCCTCCCACCCCAGCAAGCCGCCAGCTTCCTCCTCCTTCAGCGTCCATGCCAGGGGTCTGTGTGGACCCCCAAGGCCAAGAGCAACAGGCTAGACAGGCCAAGCTCCAAGTGGTCTAACTCTGGCTCCTTTTGTGTCTCTGCCCCTGCCTATGGGTCTTGGGGCCCTCTCCTAAACTTGTGGAGGTATCAGCTTCTCTGGGAGTCTCCTGGAAATTGCTGTGGTGTTCCCAACTCTAGACACAGCTGCACTTTTCACTGGATTCTGGGAAAGCTGGAAGGGTGTGCTGGAATGCCAAGAGGTAGAGACTATTTCCTAGATCTGCAGTTAACTTTAACAGAGTCCATGGATATTTGTCAGGCACCTACTATGTGCCAATGCACTTTCATCTAATATGATTTTCTTTAAAATTCCACATGAGAAAGACATTATTATAGGCTTCATTTTTAAAAATGGGGACATGAGGCTAAGGTCATGGAGTTAGAATGAGGTGGAGTCTGAATTCAAACCCAGGTCTGGTTCTTTTGGGGTCCAGGCTAGGACTGCCTTCATCCCAGGATAATCAGAACCCTTAATGGGGGGCCCTGAAGGAGGCTGGGATGCTCCCACCCCATCCTGAGGTCCAGTCCAGCCACCTTCCTCCTCCAGACAAGGGAGAGGGAGCACCAGACATTCTTAGAAGGGTGATGGACTGCTTCCCCTGGAGGTACTAACCCTCTCTTTTTGGATTGTCCTCCTAGGGCCTAATTTTGTCTTCAACTTATACCAAATCCGGTGAGTAAATTCAGGGAAATCTGGGTGATGTGGGGGTTGGGGGTAGATATAACAGAAAAACAATCAAAGATAGAGTAAGAACTGACTGGTTCCCTTTCCTTTCTTCTGTTCATGCCCCTAAGAAAACAAAAGAAGGGCACGGGAATCCATTTAGAAAAGTCCCATGAATTAAAACTTGAACACAGACAGGACTATGTGAAACCCTGATGACAATGATCTCCTTAACACTCACCCTTAGGCAGGGAATATCCATCCATCCTTCCATCCATCCATCCATCCATCCATCCATCCATCCATCCATCTCTTCCCCAAGCAGGCAGAGCCTGCCTTCCTTCCTTCCTTCCTTCCTTCCTTCCTTCCTTCCTTCCTTCCTTCCTTTTCATTTATTCAGAAAGATTCTATCATAACCACCACTACTGCGGTATTAGTTTCAAGGAGTACAAAGATGACAGGGCATAGTCTCTGTCTTCAAGCATTTCATGTCTCTGCTGGAGACAGGTCTGATTACAGATAATGTAATCTCAGGCACAAGATGGTATCAAAAAGAGGAGCATATGAGAAAATCAGGGATTCAGGGAGTGCGAGCCAGAAGTCCTCTTGGCACTGGTCATCTCATCTACTTGCTACAGACAGGGCTGTACCTCCTTTGGCCCTGAGAGATGATTACAGTAATTGGCCCACTTGCTTTTCTGGAAGACAAGTCAGTGAGTTGGTGCCCTGGAGTCAAGGGAGATGGGGTCCCAGGGAGAGGCTAGGTTATCAGCTCCAGTAGCCTGATTGGGTCATCTTTTTCAGGAACCTGAAGGATCTAGAGATGGGTCCGCCCTTCACCATCAGTGGTCACATCAGCAGCTCAGATGGTGGCTACATGAAGTTCTCCAACAGGCTAGTCTGATGCAGAGGCAGCAGCTTGTGGAGCCCTGGGGAGAGGAGTTGGAGTTGGGAGAGCTGCCGAGTGAGCCTGATGTCCAAGTAAGGTCTTAAGACAGTCCAGGCACCCAAGCCTCGCACCAAGGACCATTTGGAACCCAAAGAGATTATCTGGTTCATCCCCTGTCTTCTAGTGCTGATCTCAGGCTTGGGGTCATGTTTTCCCCTACCCGCTTCTGGCACTAGGCCTGCCCTGTTTCCTCCTGTCCACCCAATCCATGCCCAGCCTTTCCTTCCCAGGAAGGTTCTGTTTGTATTCAAGGTGGAAGCTTCTAGAGCAGAGCTTTTTATCTCAGCTCTTGCTCTGAGATGAAATATCCAGATGGCCAATATCTCTGAGAAGCATCACTTCAGTTCTGAGCTTTCCACGCCCAGGAGCCTCCCCTGCTTCACGGCCCACCCCCACCGATCCTTTGGCCACACCTTCCCTTAACTGCCTTCAAGCCAATCCCTTCCCCGCATCTCAGATACTTTTTCCCATCCAAACCATTTCTCCCTCTGGCAGTTCTTGCCCCTCCCAGACTCCCCTGGACTGCCCTCATCCCCTTGGATCTTCAAGGCCTGGCCTAGCCTCTCATTGTGGAGAATGAGGGGGTCTCCTCTGGATATGCCATCAGCCTATGGCATGGGAGTCCTGGGGAGTCAGGCCTCCGGGGATGGAGTCTGGCTGGGCAGCAGCAGCTTTCTCACAGAACTAAAAGAGGCCGCCATTCCTCAGGAGGGAGCTGGATCCCGGGAAGCCCCTGAGCCTGTAGGAGGGGTCAGAGATGTCCTGGAGAACCGGCCCTGCCCAGTGCAGTCCAGTGTGGGCGAGGCCTCCAGACACCAGTGGGGAGCTTCTTTATGGGGTATCTCCAGTCACCTCCCCTTGTACGGTTGACCAGGGGCCAGAAAGTCAGTCATAGCTTCAAATAGGCAAGTTACACAGAGGTGATTCCAGACATGGTTTTAACATTCCCACCTGAGGCCAATTTCCCTGAAGCCTGAGCTGGGCCTCGACTCTGCCCCGCCCCACTCTGTACTTGGTTCCAGCACTTTCAACCCTCCCCTTGCCCCGTCCCCAATCTGGGTCTGTTCTCTTACTGCTGAAGGCCTTAGTGCATCCCAAACATGACCAACTCCCAATTTTGATGTGCAGTGCTGAGAACAGTCTAGAAACATGTTCTTGTTGCCTAGGCCCCTGCGATGGGGTGGGTACGGGGGAGTGGGTGAGTGCCACCTTACAGTGTTCTGCATTTCTTGTGCAAAGCCTGCCCTGTGGCAAAAGGGGGCCGGAAATGGTGGGAGTGTGAAGAGGAACCCAGGCGAGGCTGAACAAACCAGATAATGCAGCAGGGAAACCAGGAATCCACTGTAGTTTGGTGGACAGTGGGGCAGTTCCCCTCGTGAGTCATCATCCTTTTTCCGGTCTGTGCCCTGCTGGACTGGAGGTGGAGTGTGCATGGGACATCAGCTCAGAAGGTGCTTAGTGCAGACTTGTTCAAACCAGAGAGGCAGTGTCCTCAGGGCTCCTGTGGTTGGAGTAGGGCAAGAGAAGGGGGCCTGTCACTGCTGAAACCTGCAGTTAGAACAGCCATCCACCAGCCCCTCTGCTAGCAGCCCAGCAACAGATGCAGGAGCCCAGTACAGCAAGGGGGAGGAGGAGGGTAGCTGTGTGATTTCTCTTCCTATGCTCCCTTTCCTGAAGCCTCATTTCTCTTTTTGGGTTGTAGCAGATTGTAGAGGAAGGAAGGCAAGGAGCTTTACCAGCCCTTACCCCATTTTCTGCCAGGGTCTGGCGGCCATCCTCCCAGCATAGCCAGGCTTTGACTTAACTACCAAGTCTCTGGATTTGGAGGTCTTCAACTGAGTCTTCTGTCCCTGAGTAAGTGGGAGTGAGGAAGGCCCCTTAATGGTTCTGGGACCCCTCCCCTCCTTGAAGGCCTCTTGGAATAGCAGGGAGGGGAGATGGGTTGTCTTCAGCTTCCTTCCTTGGATTTCAATTCTGAGGACTGGGGCCTGTTTCCTAATCCCTGAGGTTCGGGCCCCAGTAATCCATCCATCCTTCCTTCCTTCCTTCCTTCCTTCCTTCCTTCCTTCCTTCCTTCCTTCCTTCCTTCCTTCTTTCCTTCCCTCCCTCCCTCCCTCCTTCCCTCCCTCCTTCCCTCCCTCCCTCCCTCCCTCCCTCCCTCCCTCCCTCCCTCCCTCCCTCCTTCCTTCCTTCCTTCCTTCCTTCCTTCCTTCCTTCCTTCCTTCCTTCCTTCCTTCCTTCCTTCCTTCCTTTCTGACAGAGTCTCACCCTGTTGCCCAGGCTGGAGTGCAGTGGTGGGATCTTGGCTCACTGCAACTTCTGTCTCCCAGGTTCAAGGGATCCTCCTGCCTCAGCCTCCCAAGTAGCTGGGATTACAGGTGCATGCCATCATGCCCAACTAACTTTTATATTTTTAATAGAGATGGGATTTCACCATGTGGCCAGGCTGGTCCCGAACTCCTAACCTCAAGTGATCCACCCACCTCAGCCTCCCAAAGTGCTGGGATTACAGGTGTGAGCCGCTGCACCTGGCCCGACCCCAATAAAACTCTCTACCCACACCCTGCCTAGCAGGGATCCTGGGTCTGCAGTCCATGCCTGGCCTACGCCCCTGGAAGTGCTCAGAACTCAGTAGCCTTGGGGAAACTTGAAAGGGAGGATGGGGCCCAGGAGCCAGGTGGCCCTGGCCTCAGGTCTGTGGCTTCAGGTGAGGAGACGGGGACAGCTGCCCGGGGCTGGGAGCATGGAGGGTATTTCCCATCCTCGGGAGCAGAACTGATACTGGGCGACTTCCTCTTTTAGGGCCCTCTGACGCACCCTCTGTCCCCTCAGCCTCCCCCTCTTTTCCTTACTTCCGCAGGCCACTGGCGAACACAGCTTTCTTCACCCTTGGGGCCTGGGCCCCACCCCTGGACTCTGTGTGTTTCTGTTGAGAGCTCCAAAGGGCAGGTTCCAGCTTGTTTAGAAACGATTGGGGAGCAGATGCCTGGAAACCCAGCCACAGGTTTGGCTGAGCCAGGCACTGGTTGGGCACCCAGACCACGGCTGTGCCAGGGCCTCTCCCAGCACCTTCCTGCTACCTTTTTACAGTTCTTCTTTCCACTGGCCCTAAGAGCCCAGAGGTAGTCACAGGGGCCGAGGGCCCAGGGGCTGGCTGCTCCCAGTTCCCCTGCCACCCTTTGGTGCCTTCTCTGGGGCTATTCTCCAGCCTGGGTGCCCTTTTGTCCCCACAGCCCCTCCCCTCCTAGCCATATCTAGTCTCTGTGGGATGGCTCAAGTCCATCTTTGCTCTGACTTTGCTCAGCGTTCGAGACTTGATACCACCCATTTTGATCTGAATTGCAGGTGACCACATTTCCTCCATTTGTGCTGTTCCTCAACCAAGCTGAGCCCTCTGCAAGCAAGGTTATGTTCTGTAGGTCTTTAGTAGCTCCTAAAACTGGAGCGTGCCGGAGGAGCCCAGTAACTTTACTTGCCGAGTAGAAAAGAGACACCCAGTGTAGCCACAGAAAGCTTCTTTGTCCTAGAAAATCATTTAAAATCATGATGAGGCTAGGAGGTGAAGAGGGAGCTTTTCTCTCCTCTATGTTCTCCTTGAAGTCTTAATGATCTTCTCCCATGCCAGTGGCATTGGAGGGGGCCAGGTGACAGAAGCCAGGAGGCCAGAGTCTATGGTGCCCCTCTCTCTGCTTCAGGAGTCTGAGAAACTCGAAGTAGGAGCAGATGGGAGGATCATTATTATATTTTTAAAAACTGCTTAGTGATCAAAAGGAGGAGCAGAGACTGTTTGCACAGTCCACAGTTCACAGAGCACAAAGCCTTTTCTCGCATGGTACTGCGTTTGAGCCTTATGTCAAGCTTGAGACACAGGGATTATTCTTGGTCCTGTTTTACATATACGGACACTTGGGTCAGAAAAGCAGCATGTTTTACCCAAGTTCCACAGCTGGCTACTGGCTGCACCAGAGCTGAGCAGAGTCTGCGCCCTCACGGATGCAGCTGACATCAGGGCGTAAGGATGAGGACTAAATGTAATATAAGGTCTGGTTCTGACCCTGCCCTGACGTGCTGTGTGGTCATGGGCTACTTAGTCCACCTCTCTGGACATCTATTTCAGCATCTGGAAATCAAAAGTTTGGACTATTTTTCCAAGGTTTCTCCTGGTTCTTACTTGTAGAAGAGCAAAGACCTTATCTATTTTTTTTTTTAAAGCCTCCGCATTCTCAGTTCTTAGCATATAACCTGGTCCATAGTAGGTGCTCAGTAAACAATTAAAAGATGCAAGTACAAAGTGTCAATGTATCTTTCTAATTTAGGAGATGGCAGTTGAAAGGTGACGGCTGCAGTTCCCTAATGGTCTAGGATTCTAAGCATTACTTAGCCTTTCCTTGACTCTGAATGTGTCTGACCAGGTTCCAAGTCTGGCCCATTCCCAGCCAAATTGTTCTTTACCTGTAGGGTGAAACGCTAATGTTTGCTGAGCATGTATCAGTGCAGGGACGAGGCTTATGATGCACAGCCTGTCTTCATCCTCACAGCCTCACAGGTGAGGGAACAGAGGCTCAGAGCGCTGTGAAGTGATTTGTTCAAGGCCAGGCAAGAATCTATTTTCTTTATAATCCTTTGTCACCCACTTCTAGCCTCAGTCCAAACTGGCAGCTATCCTGACATCCTTGGCCCCCAAGAACATACTCCTCCCTGTAGATGGTCTCTAATCTCTTTCTGGGGTCTCCTTGTGTGGTGAGAAGGGAGCTCAGGAGCCCAGTCCTCCTTAGGCCCCATCCTTAGCTCTGAGCTTCCCACTGACCTACTCCCCTTTCTTCCTTTTGTTTTTTTAGACCTTCCTTGACCTCCAAATCACCAAATTCTGCCCATTCTTCATGCCAGCTCAAATTTCCCTTCTCCAGGGAGCCTTCTGTAAGACCCATGGATCTTGTACTCTGCTGATTTTAAATACAGATAGTCTCAGGCTCCCATAACTTTATTATTGATTATTTATTTGCATTCATTTATTCACACTGCTTCCATAACATGCCAGGAACTATGCTAGGCACCATGGGGGCATCCAGTCTCCCTGAAATTAACCTTGTTTTCTCCTATTTGATGGGCATTTCTTGCAGGCAGAATCAGGTTTTAAACCTCTTCTGAGTTCTCCACGGTACTTTGCATGCCTCTGGCCATAGCCAGGAACTTCTCAGGAAATTGTGTTGAAATCTCTCTTCAGAACATCTTGATCATTGCTTCATCCCTGGTGCAATCCCAGGTGCTCTGAAAACCAAAACTTTCTCTCTCTCCTCATCCTTGACTACATTCAACCTTGTGCTCATGATCAGTTACATTTCTGAGAGAGAGCACATAGATGACGATTTTTCTATCTTGAAGTAT